ATAATTGTCTTTTAGAGGAGAAAAAGTGGCAAGTTGATGTGCAATTTATTTTGAAATCTCTCTACAAATAAAATCAGGAGAAAATTAAAACCACTTTGAGAAATTGCGGTTTTTTACGCCTCTCTCCGGAAGTACTTTCATTTTCAAAACTCTCTAGGTAGCATTTTGCTGATTATCTGAATATGCAACTTTGCCTCTATTTAAGCGATTTTGTATCCCATAAAATTTCAACGGTAAGGAAAAATAGTATTTTCATTCCAGCAAAGTCAGTCGCCTTTTCCGTGGGCACCCTTGAAAAGAAGCTGTAACACAAAATCTCCAGAACTAGTTATTTTGTTTTCATCAGCTTTGAGGGACTTATACAAGCAAATACTGTTTGTGCATACACTTCGAGGCTGGGCGACAAGGGAACAGGGAACAAAAACCCTACTATTCGAGTTTTATTAAAAGTCATTTACAATACTTTATACATTTTTAATGCATAATCACTGCAGATGTTTATTCAGAATTCTTACTGTTTGCTTCTTCAACTTGTCATTCGATGAGTGGAATCACTTTTTTTCAAATCTGTGTTTATACCTTTTAAATGAGTATTGAATGGTAATTACTGAGTAAATCTACTTGACATTTTTTAGTGCTGTTATTTTTCCTAGAAAGTGTCCCCTCTAGAAGAAAATTTAGGCACATTCGGGCAATTGGACGATAAGTCCTAAATCATTCTGGTTTACAGCAAATCAACATACCCCAATTTTTCCTAAATTGTCTACGCCATACTGAAAAATGTTACATTCGAACAATGATTCTACTTGATTTCGAGCTCTAACAGTTTACTGGACAATAATGTTCTGACTAATTTGACAGTCATCAAACACTCAGAAGTTTCTGTACGAACAGTGGATCAGTTTGGTAATCGGTCCAAGCTTCCTCAGCCAACTCGTAACGTTCTCATGTAAGCAATTTATACAGTCAGTGATTATCAACAAACAGGCTGTACGAACAAACCATACACTCGAATTTGAATATAATAAGAGCTGAGAAAACTTAGAGAAGGTGTTAAGAGGATCGGAATCTTATAAAGGGTAAAAGAAAGATGGCGGGACATTTCAGGTTTCTAAGGGAAAAGCTGTTGAGCTGTTTAAGAGGGCGGACATGACCTGTGGCACTTCTCTTTCTTATCATGGGTCTTGGAGAACTAATCCATTTAAAATTTTATTTACGAGACGATTGTTTAGTGCAATCGACATCAATAAATTTTGATCAAGTGATATAGCAATAAATAAGAGAATATATGCAATTTGAGCGGATTATAGGCATTACAAGATTATTGTATCAGTAGCGTAGCTGACTATGTCTGTACTATTGTTTTTCCACATATATTTGCGTGGCGTTATTTCCATATCTACCAGTTTCTGGAAAGAGCGTACATAATATTGGGAAGGTACTATTGCTTATCGTCAAAAAATTATGTGGGTATAAAAAATGTATTTCTAAATATATATTATTAACACTTTACGGCTTACTAGAAATGATTAGATATAATTATTACAAGTTTCTATGGTAGTTAGTCAAGAGCCAATGGCGTGAGCTAAGCCACTGCTACACGGAATTAATAATTATTTCCTATGAGGTGGTTGGACCTCGCGTACCCAGAAGCTCACCGAAACCGTATTCCGAATCTCGACTGGGCAACTGTATCTACCTGTCAGACCTACTGATCTACAGGCGTTCGATTAAGGACAAAATGCCTAGTTCAACTCGAAGCGACTTTTCCTCCGTTGAAATCGTATTCAAGCTCCTTAGGCTACATTTCTGAAAAATTTATGAACCTTGAGGAACGATTAAACTAATATTATCACTGACGTTTAGAAAACGTAAATAATATAGCTTAATGTATTGCGTACTTGAACGTGCAACAAAGGGTTTGTCGATAACGTTTTGCTATCTTTGGCAGTCGTGCTTAGTTGAATTCTACTAGCATTCGGAAATACCCGTAGATACCTCCTCATAGAGTCTAAAAAATCGAGTAACTTCTTCAAGTGTACACCTTTCTCATGAGTATACTTGAAGATCAAATACCATTCACTGTTGAAAGCGACACAATAGATTTCATAAAATAGCCTTCAGTGCAGAAAATTAGACAAAATCAACCATTACTTCCCCTAAATTCACATGATTGTTGCATTAATAACCAAAATACATTGCACTATTAAAATACTATGCTTGGAGTAATCCAAATTATATGAACTTTGACTGATGCCTTTACCCACCGCAATTATTTTGGTTTGTTTGAAGATTGATAAGGATGGATATAAATTTCAGTATCTACAGTAACTTTGTTCATACTTAAATAAGGCCATTTAGAGTAAGATCCCAGAGCTGTCAGACGCAACATATTTAATCCTAACCCTAATGCTATATTCACGCGACCAAAAAATTATTCGAGATAATATGAGATACCTTAGTGTCATCTACGAGAATTTATCACAGCTGTTTCTCTTATTCATTATATACGAGGGTGGTCCCAGAAGTACCCGGTCTGACCTAGAGATGGCGATAGTTGTTTGAAAAATATAATTGTATTAGAAAGTATGCAACCTATAAAGCATATGTGTTAAGTTTGAAGACGCCACGTTGTTTAGTATTTGTTTGGCAGCCAACAATACTGAACGTTTTCAGTGAATTTATGAAAATGGAGAAAATTAGTCATCGATATGTAGTACAATACTTTTATTTCAAAGGCCTCAGCCCAACCAATATAAAAGCTGAACTGGATTCTACTCTGGGTGAGCCTGCTCCTTCGTTTACAACAGTCAAGTATTGGGTAGCAGAGTTTAAACGAGGCCGTATGAGCTGCCAAGACGAGCATCGCAGTGGTCGACCAAATGAGGCGTCGATTCCAGAAATAGTGAAGAAAATTCAAAAAGTGCGGTTTATCGCATATTATCTGAAAATTTGGACATGAGAAAGCTGTGTGCAAGATGGGTACCGCGATTGTTCACAATCGAGCAAAAACAGTGTCGCGAAGATGTTTCGATTGAGTGTTTAGCGAAGTTTCACAGCAACAAAGCAGAATTGTTGCGTCGTTTCATGACCATGGATGAAACATGGGTACATCACTTCACACCCAAGACAACCGAACAATCAAAACAATGGACTCAAAAGGGACAACCGGCTCCAAAGAAGGCGAAGACCGTTTCATCTGCTGGCAAGGTTATGGTGTCGGTTTTTTGGGATGCGCGTGGGATAATTTTCATTGACTATCTTAAAAAAGGTAAAACTAACAACGGCGAGTATGATGCGAACTTATTGCAATGTTTGGGCGATGAAATCAAGCAAAAACGGCCGCATTTGGTTAAGAAGAAAGTGTGATTTCATCAAGACAATGCACCAGCTCACAAATCCGTTATTGCAATGGCCAAAATTAACGAATTAAATGCACCCTATTCACCAGATTTAGCCCCCTCGGATTATTTTCTGTTTCCAAACTTAGAAAAATGGCTCATTGGTCAAAGATTTTCCAACGATGAAGAAGTGATGTCGGCAGTTAATGGCTATTCTGAGGAGAAGACAGTTCTTATTATAAAAAGGTATCGAACATATTGAACATCGCTGGGAAAAGTGTATAGAGCTCAAAGGAGGTTATGTTGAAAAATAAATACATTTTTTTACAAAAATTTTGTTTTCTTAGTTGGGTCGGGTACTTCTTGTACTTTGAAAGAATAGTCTTACATAGATGGCGCTGTAGCCAAAGCTACATGAGCATATATGACGTGAGACACTAACTTTTTCAATGTATATATAGTAAATAGAGAAACAGCTCTGGCAAATTCTCATAGATATCGCTGAGCTATCTCATATGATCTAGAATAATTTGTTGAACAATAGAATACATTATTAGAATGGCTATCTTCACTCAATGGCAGACGGTTTAAAGCAGGGTGTCCCGCTATGAGTTCAGCTCTCTCTAGATTGTTTATATGGCGGTTTAGAAAAGAAGTTTCATATAAAGGTTATGAGGTCGAATATAAAGTTTTTCCTGCTAAGCTTTTTATATATAGGAAAGTCGTGTCGAATAAAGCTGATTTTTTTAAGCAGGTCACTTTAGTCGATAGCAGGGACACCGTGTAAACAAAAAATGGCATTGAATGAACAATTGTATATTAGGGCCGTATCGTCAGTCATTCCTTCAATAATTGTAGGACATCTTTATGGCCTCCTTGGTTTTCATAGGTTTTCCTGTCCTTCGGAAAGGCGCTCTATTTTGAGGTTATCTTATAAATATCTACATACATATGCATCAAATTGTTCATGTTTTTGATTTTCGTCATCTTAAATTTTCTACAATTCAAAAAAAAAACATAACTAGGAGAGCGCTGACACTGACACGGAACAGTAGAAATATAGAAATACCCCAGCCTTTCTGAAGGAGAGAAATGACTATGAAAACCAAGCAGGCCAAAAGGGCGTCCTACAATAGTATGAACGACTGACGGATATGGCCCTCTATACCCTTTGTATAAACCATACATTCACCTCGTTTAAAGAGTCTGGCAAAAGTTACGGCTGAAGGAAGGTGTTCTAAAGTGCTGGATATTACTCTGTAATAATACTTTAAAAAGTATGTATAAGAATCAGCCATGGAATTACCTTTCTCATTTAGTACCGACAGATCAACTTAGCAAGTACGCGGGAGATCAAAGTACGTAGAAACGCTATTTCGATGCCCTAGATTTTATCTTTCAGAACATAGCTTATGCCTGAAAGCCCTGAGATTTTCGACACCATTGTCGTGAGTTATTATTGGAAATTTTTTTGTAATATTCAAATCTATATCTAGACTATCCATTTATTTGTGTCTATTGTTTGTGTGAATCCACGACTTTTTATGTACGCACACGCTAATGTATATCAATACATATCTATATTGCGAATTGGTAATTAAACTCCAATTTTGTTTGTTTTTTGATAAAAAAATTCCACAAGAGGCATGCTATACCTCATTTCATATAAAACGTCACCCAAATAATGAAATAATAGTTGCAATTAGATTTTATTTATTATCGTTTTTGAAAGGCTGTCCTCAGTGACGATAAAGTTCAACTTTATCTTCACTCCCACTATTAGTTCTACAGTGTTCCTACGTAAGGACGCACACACGTAACGTCTACAATGGGTGAGTTTATCATCTGGTAGAACGCTTCTTCCCTTTTTACCATGTTTACCGACAAAATATTATGCTCTGCAGCATTAAAAACCCTACATCACTTGTCATACGTATATCAGTTTCTTTACGCTATACAGGGTACATACATGATCCGTAAAATTTTTTGGGGTAATTGAGAATGCTATTCGATAGTTTTTATTGAAAACCGCGATGCTCTAAGTGCCCCGGTTACTGAGATATTTTTTTTTTCGTTTTTATGACAAATTTGCTGGAATTGCCTTTTTATAGTTTATAAAATATGATTTCTGGTCTGCCAAAGTAGTAAAATTGTGCAGAGTGAACAAAAGATTTGAAATTTAAAAATTTGATCACAGCGAACTAAGTTTTTTAGTACTAAGTGTGGCCTTTCTAATTGAATCTAAGCATATCCTCCCTAAATGAAGACTATTGATGAACATCTTTTTCGCCTCAGACTTGATTGATTTTATCAATCCAGACTGTCTGATGCGGGCTTCAAACTCAGTACAGTATGGCTCTGGACTTATTAGGCCATTTATTTTTTATTTTCCTCAGTAGTTCCTTAAATCCAACCATTAAGGTGAGCGTTTCGCTATTCAAACACTGTCCACTAATTAAAAAAAATGTGGTTCTTCCATTTCTAAAACAACATTCATTAATGGTCAATGTCACATGTAATAATTAGTTTTAAATCATATTATAAGTAAAAATGTTTAATTTCCCGATAAAAATTACAAATTTTGTAAGTCTTGGCAACCAATAACCTAGTACGTATCACGTTAGATGTACTTAATCCGGCAGGCGTATTACGTATCTTGAAAAGTGACATTAACTCGGCTTTTGTTACATTATATAGGTTTTGTTGTTACGGTTCTTTATGACATTATGTAGGTTTCTCTACAAGACGTCAGCTCAGCACTAGCTGTTATACACTTGATGTGTGTTCTAAGTCTTGGCAACCAATAACCTAGTACGTATCACGTTAGATGTACTTAATCCGGCAGGCGTATTACGTATCTTGAAAAGTGACATTAACTCGGCTTTTGTTAGATCATATAGGTTTTCTTGTTACGGTTCTTTATGACATTATGTAGGTTTCTCTACAAGACGTCAGCTCAGCACTAGCTGTTATACACTTGATGTGTGTTAGTTCCGTAGCTGTACGTGTTGCCTAAATGTCATGATGCTTGATCAATGTTTGGCTCTGATGTGAGAAAACATCAACTTCAAAGATGGCATTACTGGGCTGTAAGTTGTATACTATATATATACTATAGCTGGAAGCCAACGGCAGTGCATAGGTGCATAGTGAGGCTTTGTGTGCTAATAATATGTGTTGATTATAATTCTATTGCTTTCTTTTTTCAAATACACTTGAGATGTATGCAAAGCTAAAAATTAGCTGTGCATCCGCTTTTTTTATTCATCCTGGAAACTACATGTTTTACAGATTTGCTGGATTTAAAAAAAGAGAGCGATAAGATACGAATATCCCTGGTTGGTGAGGTATATTTAAACTAACAGGTGAGAAAATATGACAATAATACATACATGAATATTTATGAAGCATGAAAAAGTTATTTCATTTCACGTTAATTTTTATTTCCAGTCATTTAAATTTTATAGAAATTTGTTTTATGATGTCAAGTAGAAAAATCAAATTAGCGTCTAGATGTGAGGCAGTGCGAAAATGTTTTGTATGTGGTGCGTCATTCCTAATTTTTCTGTGATGTGGCATTATCACACACAATGCCGGTGCGGTGCTGATTTCCCCTTCAATGTTTTTGAAAATGCAAAAAACGGGGAAAACAACACAAATAACCCGTCTGGCACAGCTAATAGATATATTTCATGGGCAGCATGTTCAATAATAATTTTCTCACATAGCAAATATCACTCATTTTATACACATGCAGAACAATACACACAATCATCCAGATGTGATCTTGCTACTCTGCTATTCAACCAAACATTTTTCAGGGATTACAGACTATATATACATTCTACAGCCAACAAAGCATGATGGGAAACTCACTTGCAGCTTGCACCATGGTCGTTGGGTCATCCCTCCATAGATGGACGCTTTTGATGACACTCACAGCGTACACTAGGAACTATCTAGGCAGCAACTTCACGTTTTGCTGTTTTTTTACGCTTTATAGGTTTTTTATGTAATAACCGTGCAGAGGTATCGGATGTCATTAACCTCAAATCAACTTGTACAGGGTGTGGCAGAGAGGATGGACGGTTTAAAAAAAATCATAAAATAGTTAATTTTTACTCGAAAACAAATTTATTGATGGAATCAGGTTCACAAGGAAATAGCATTTGAGACAGTCAAGTGAGGAAAATCACATCAGGCATGTGGTGGTCGAAATCGTTGATGCAGTGCTGGAGGCGTTCTTGGAATTACGCGTGGACTCTCTCCAACATCGCTCTCTCAACTTGGGCGACTTTCACGCGAATTTCGCTTTTCAATTCGTCCAGAGTTCGGGGCTTATTAACGTATACTCTAGCCTTGAGGTGTCCCCTTAAGAAAAAATCGCATATGGATAAATCTGGGGACCGAGGAGGCCAATGAACATCGCCAAACCTGGAAATAAGGCAACCAGGGAAGAGAGGGCGAATAACGTCCATGGATGCTTGGGCTGTGTGGGCGGTCGCCCCATCCTGCTGGAACCACACACGTCGGATCACGACCATTACCGTCTTCGAAGAAGCGGTCTTTCGTGTAACTGTTGCGGATTTTCATTAGCCCAATAACGACAATTCTGCTGGTTAACCATGCTGTTTAGGTGAAAGTGTGCTTCGTCACTCATAGGCGAAAACGCGGTGCTCCACCGTCCAAGGCTCCATAACGAAAACTGGTAAAATAATGCTAGGATCTCACGAGTCAAACGGCACCCTCCCCACCTCTCTCGTAGCCGGAGGCGGAGAGTACTACCCATCCCAAAAACGTCCGTCCTCTCTGCCGCACCCTGTATAATTCAATCTGCTTATTGCTTTCAATCATTATCTTCATTATCCTTATCTAGTGTATGATATGAAGCAATATAATAAGCCAAAGAGCTTTTATAAATACAGATAAGCTCCAAAAAAGCAAAGTTTTTTTGTGATCGAATTTTGATTTCAAATTTTATATTCATTCCACACAATTTTACGAGTTTGAAGTCATTTTTTCGGGCTTTTGCACGAAATATTTATTTGCTCTGATCAAGCATTTTTCACAAAACCCAACCACGTTTATTTTGTATTATAATCTCGACATACAAAAAAGTTGTGTAGACATTTATTCGCAATTTCAGAAACATCAGCATTAAAACGAAAAGAATAAATATCTCAGGAAGTAGGGCATTTAGAGCATTGCGATTTTTAACACAAGTCTCTCCGATTACCCTAAAAATTGTGTCGGTTCATACACCAAACACCCTCTATATTTTCTCTAGAACGCAACATCTGCTGAATGCCCATACGAAGTTCTATAGGCGGTTGCTTTTTCCATCGCCAATTATTCTTGCTCAAACTTTTTATCCTCTCTTTCAAATAGCCCTATAAAAAGTCGGGTGCAGTTAAATCGGAAGGTTTTATTACAGCATCGCGAAATGAAAGGTTCAGAAAAAGGTGTCTGCCACCATTCTGTAGGATGTAATTTCAGGGAAAGTTGAATTTTATATTCTTACAATATCAAATCTAAATTCAAATCTCACAGTGGAAACGTAAGACGAATATTCAGATCTTGGGTAATTGTATCATATAACTCAATTGCGTCTGTTTGATATAAAGTTGAGCCGTTTATTTTAGCAGCTTGTAGAACTCGTCAAAAGAAGTTATCTCAAAAATCACTTATATAAAGGTTGCATAAGAAAAATGTTAGTTTACATTAATAAAAGTTATTTAAAAAAATCATTATCACGTTAAATGGATACCGTTTTTACAAAAACTGTTAAAAATTTTCTCCATTTTTTCCAATTTAGATATACTATAAGAGTAGTAAGCAAAAAACGCTAAGATTTTATACGGTAGTGGTCGAGAATGTCAAAAAATCTGTGTAATAACAGTCTTATTTTTTGAAAAAATTAATCTTTCACTGTTTCATTTATTATGCAACCTTTATATAGGTGATTTTTGATATATCAAATCAATGACTCAACTTCGCAAACACCCTGCATAAGCACTTCGTGCATTGCTAGACTTTGCAGCTTCTGCACCTGTCCCTGATGTTGAAATTTCCACAATATAGGATCTTTTGTTGGTGATGAACAGAAATGGACATTTTGTAAATAAGAACTTCAAGATACCCAGAAAGCCATATTTTTATACTCCAAATAGAGCATACCCCAATGTAGCAAAATTCATACACTTGTGACGACGGTTGATGAAAATGAAGGTGCTACCTTTGAAACCGTGAAGCTCAATCCTCTGGGTTTACTAGTCTTCGGGGATTAGTCATTTCAGCTAGATCTTGATGGCATTCTTACGTTACCACCATCATCACTATAATAGTTATCCAAAGGCTAGTCTCTTAGCAGCAATGAAGTGAGAGCCAGTAAAATAGCTCAGATGGTGGCAACAGAAGGTATACTCATCCAAAACTTACGGAAACATTCAACATGCGATCAAGGCCCTTGTGTCAACCACAGCAAATGTTGTTTTACTCAATTCCATCAAATAATGAGTCGTTAGTGCTGCTCAATCATTTGAAGCTGACAATATGCTATCGTAATCTTTTTATCTTGGCGTAATAAAAGCGTAGTTTAAAAATAATGAGAACCTTCGATTGTGCCATAGATTGTTATATCGTAAGTGCACGCCAGTTTCATGGTAAAACATGCCCTCCAGGATAACAACCATACAGTATATTACAATGAGTATTACTCATTGGGGGTATCATAAGGAGTGTAAATGGCAGGATCGGAATAATGTCACCTGATCATCATATTTTAATCAATCGTGCTACCGGTTCAAATGCTGTCTGATTTGACAAATATGGAGTCAAGTTACAAGTCTAATCTCTGCATTGGCGAGGCATCTAGCCAGTGTTGTCTTATGTTACTGTATTGAAGAGCCATTTTGAATTCACTAAGTGTTCCTCAGATTCTAATGAAATTTTGAAACGGGATAACTACAACTCCAACGACAGAAAGGCTATTTAGATTTTGAAAATCTACCCATTGTCGGCGGAGCTACGCTCCCGTTTTAGACGTTTCAGAGGTTCCTGATTATTTTTTGAAACTTTTTTGTATGTGAGGATTTCAGGGGGTGGGGGATTGTAAACGTTTGCTTTTGCTTTGTGTCATAGGCAAAAGTTTTTATATCCTAGAATGGTATCAACGAGGGCTCGCTGAATCTGATATATATTTCCTTAGCTGTTGTGAATGTTGCTGTTGCATCTATAGTACTCCTATTAGTGAAAGACGAAGATGTGTCTGATACCAGTAATATTGCGCACCTGTTAGGTATAATTATCAGAAATATTGTATTTTTCGTTGAATCAAAAGGATTATTGGTTTATTTCTTATAATCTGAGATGTAGAACTGTAGAGTTTTATGATATATTCATTAATGTATTTTGAATAAAACTGACCTATTATTTTTTTTGTTATTTTCGTTAATGATGTGCATAACTGAGGAGCTAAGTTTTTACAATTTTGTTTTGGAAGCTATTACTAGATCAGGTTACTACATGTTAATGCAATCATGCGAAGATTATCCGGTCTGCTAAAAATACATTGGCTGAACATTGTTTCTATATTGGATCAATATTCATGTATTGGCACTACCATTCCAATCAAATACCAATATCTACAGTATATTCAGATAAGAGATAGACCGGACATAAACAAGACCACGTGATCATCGAACGCTGTAACATTCGGCAGGGACGTATTGAGAGTCACGCAGTACATATTTTAGATAGTAGATGCTGCTTTGCGTAACTTTGTAGTAAATTAGCACAATTCGATGTGTATACGATTGGTGATGGATATAGGATCATGTGGGGGTGGGGTAAGAAATATATAATGATGTAAATATACATAAGGGTTTCAAAATTTTCGCTTCGATTTCCAGCTTCGGATGCCGCCTGATGTTTGGTGAAATACAGTCGAATATAATCTCAAAATGGCGTTTAAATTAGCCTAAATTAAAAATAATCGTATATCTCTTAAAATTGCTTTTAGAATATTGATTAGTATATTTTTTAATTTCTAGGTAAATATGTAACCAAATTAAAACGTTCAAAACGTAAAAAAATGTGCATGGTTGAACATTGTCAGAAAGTAGATTCTTGAATAGGTTTTGCCAAAATGGGTTCAAAAATGTCAATAATTAATTAAAAAATACAGTAGCTTTATAATTACTTATAACTTACCGAATTTGATGAACGACATCTTTTATTGGAAAGATGAGCTTGATGAGCTTTCATCATCGCTACTGCCTGAAGCACCAACGTCAATAATGAATGGCTCGACTTGTTCCTCTAAAATATTGTCCAGTTCCCACATTCTCTTTTCAACTTTGTCTTTCACGTGCTTAATACAGTTTTCCCATTTAGTAATTCTAGTGCTTCTTTGAAAAGTCCTTTGAGGTCACAAAATTTAAAAGTTGTATTGTGCTTAGCTATATAATTTTTAACCTCTGCCCATATGAGCTCAGTGGGATTGAGCTCGCAATGGTATGGAGGTAAACGGAGCACAGTTTTATTTTGACTTGCTGCCATTTCGTCAATGGCGTATTTTTGATATTCCGCCTTGTGATCCTTGACAATTCTTAATAATTGTACTTTCAGCATTGCTTCTTCAAAGTTGATATTTTTCGAGCGGAACCAATTTTGAACATCAACTTTCCTTGAAGCCGTTGTTGGGACCTTCTCCATTCTTCGAGAATGATAAGGCGCATTATCCAACACAATTACTGCGTTTTCCTCTAAGTTCGGTAAAATTTTTGAAAACCACTGTTCAAACGATTCGCCATTCATTTCCTCGTGGTAATCTCCAGTTTTCTTAGACTCAAAGCACTACAGACCGTCAACAACAAATCCATCCTCACTGCCAATATGGCAGATAATGAGCCTTTTCCCTTTACCTGGAAATCGAAGTACTAACTGGTGTAGATTTATTTCAATAAGCGAACCTTTTTCAAATGTTTTCATCACATTCAGCGAAAAAACATTGAGACATGAGTATCAGATTGCTATAATTGGGATTATTTAGTCATATTGAAAGAAAGAATATTGAACGTCGTATGATTACTCAGCGCTTCACAATTTAATTTAAAGTTATAAACCTTTAAAAAATGAATGATCAGGAACCTGAAATACGAGCAAATATTAATATTAACAAATTATAACTTTATAAAGCTTAAAGTATGAATTAAAATGATTAGAAATATTAGGAACGGTACACAATATAAAACTTAGTAACTTTTTTTAAGTTTATAATATTCGACATATTTTAAGATTATATTAAAAAATTATTGAAATATCGAAAACACATAAAAACATGGCTTAAAAAAGTTCTAACAAATGAAAATGACAATAAAACATCCACGCATTTTATCGAAAGTTATAGAAGTTTTGTTAAAAACATCCGATTGTTGTCTATTACTCGTATTTACCTGTTGGATTTTTTAATCCGGTGGACAGTCCATCTAGAAAGGCCCTCCTGGATGAAGTTACAGAATCATCAACCCATACTTTACTTGTAGTGTGTTCTGCGTTTACCCACGTTTCATCAAGGTAATAAATCTTCCTGTTTTGATTTCTATATTTCCCAATTTTTGTTAAATAATCCCTCCTCCATAGCACAATTTCTTCTCTATCCAGTAGTAAACTATTACGACCCCGTTTTTTCCATTTGAAATTTAAATGCTTCAGTAACGCATGGAAAGTTGATCGTTTGAAATTTGGCAACGTTGTATCTCCATTTACCTCCTGCAGTACTTTATCTATAGTAGGTATTTCATTCCTAAAGAAGAATTCATGCACTTTCCTCCTAATCGCATGCTTATCAGCTTCATCCAATGATTTAACAATACTTTTGCGATGTTTACTGGTCATTGGCTCAGAAAAGGTGTGATTTTTTTTGTATTGTCTTAACACATTAAACACTGATGCGCGACACACCCCAACTTTGTGAGAAACCTTCACAACAATTTCTTTGATGGTTGATGCCTCGTTCTCCTCGCGCTCGATATTATATATATTCAAAATGACCTCTTTCATTTCTGCACTCAGGTGTCTTTTTTTAGAGCGTTTCTTAGGTGGACTACAGGAGTTTACAACTTTATCGGCAGTATCTGTACTACTGGGCATTTTGCGCAAGCAGTTGATAACAATAACAATCAATAACAAGGTATAACAATAACAACGACAAACTCAACAACTTAATAAGATAACAAACGAAAACGTCCAAAGAAATATCAAATTGCAATGATGCACACGACATACGTAACACGTCTGAACCTGAATGTGACTCTGCCTTGATACGACTGCTCTGCCGCTCGGCATAGGCATTTAATTGCGAATTGACCAATGAGGGCTCCTGTTTTACGTCGAGACGGCGGCGTTAGCGTGAAAATCACGGTCTATCTCTTATCTGAATATACTGTTGTACCCTATATTTGTTAAACTTTGGAAAATACATTATTTTGTTTTCTCTTTTATCTTTATTGGCCCAACATGTTATGTTGCGATACTGATTGCAGAATATTGGAACAATATTGTAATTGCGTTCGTAAGCACAATATTACAGATAAATGTTGGCACAATACTGTATTGATAGTGGAAGTGCAATATTGTTAACACATATATCGCCCAAATATTGTTTCTTAATATATAAAAGTAATATTGTCGACCAATACCACTCCAAGTTTTGTTGATTGTTCAGCGAATATTCGTAATCCTATATTTGTCCTATATTTGGAAAATACCCTTGATTTTTTCTTTTGGCCTTCATTGGCCCAATATGTTATTTTATGATATGGATTCCAGAATATATGCACAGTATTATAATTACGTTCGTAAGTAAAATATTACAGATAAATGTGGCGCAATAAAGAAAAATTCAAATTTATATGTGATTTGATTTGGCCAGACAATATTACATTACATTATTTTTATAATTGTTTGAGACAATTTACGACGTATGTCTTGCAACCAATGTTGGATTTCAATATTGAGTCAGTGAAGAATGGATGTACTGTAAAGTACCATTGAACCAATATTTTTATAATTGATTGGAACAGTAGGTAAATGTTGACGTTCAACCAATATTGAAAATAAATGTTGAGTCAATACAAAAAAGTATTGCTTTAATAATGTAAGTAAACATTGAAACAATATTGGCATGATTGATTTAGACAATATACAAATTGACATGCAACCAATTTTGAATTGTAATTTCGAGCCAATAAAGAAGGGCCATATTGGGTTGATACTGCACATATTGTACCAATGTATCCAAATGTTCACATCTCTTGCACCAATATTTAAAAATTAGTTTGGGCGAATGTGTCCGCAGTATTGTTTCCATATTGGAACAAAATACGTGTGCTAATTGGGTTGATGACATAACTGCGTGGGAAGTACAGAGCCAGTCTACTTGACGCCACTTTATTTTTTTAAGGATGGTACTTGAGCCTGGCGATGGCCTTGGCAGGACTGCTAAACCTGTTTATGCCCATGTCGATGGCCATTGACCCCCAGTGCGACTATCAGGACAACCTTTTGATAGGACAGGAGTATTTCATCTACAACAAAGAGTATCCGGACAGAGATAGCAGCGGAACCAATTGCAGGTGGACCGCAAAGAGCCAACCGGGTACCAGAATCGTCGTCTCATGCGAGGATATCGATATACCAAGTGTAAGTATGTATTATAGTACCTCGGTGAGGACCAAATTTTGCCGACGGGCGAGACTTTAAAGCAGGAAAAGAGTTACTAGTACCGTATCATAAGAATTCGGAAGGCGTATTTTGAAAAAGAATGGTTACGAACCATCTAAGTACCGAAAAAGCACAGGAGATTTTTCTCGTTGATCATAGCAGGAGAACGGAGTTTTATGACGCCACCGATTGTGATATCTTGAGTTATTGTTACATTTTGCGACAGAGCTGCGGCCAGAAAATGTAACAGATAATGTTACCCAATACAAATTCCCATTTGCTAATTATCCACGGTTTAACTTTCGCAAAGCTAACTTTCCTGAAATGTACACAGCCTTGCAAGATGTTAATTGGACGGAGGTGATCAGTGCAGTTAATGTTGATGTCGCTTGTACCGCCTTGTATTCAGTTATCAATAACATCTTTGAGGTCCATGTCTCTAAATATAAAAATAAAATGTTTTCGTATCCTTCATGGTTCACACGTGAAATTATACTTAATATCAAGAAGAAGGACATAGCAAGAAGGAACTGGAAACGTGACGCTACTAAGTTTTCTTATGATCAGTTCAGTAATTTTAGGAAGCTCATTAAGAATCAGGTCAGTGTTGCCTACTCCGCTTACGTCCAATCGGTTGAGGATGCCATTGTCAATGATCCTAGCAAATTCTGGTCATTTGCCCAGATCAAAAAACAGCAATCTAGAATCAGCCCAAGGATGACGCTTAACGGCAATGTCTGCGATACGCCTCAGGATATAGTGGACAGTTTTGCTACCTCCTTTTCAACAGTTTTTATCCCGTTTGGTCTACTAGGGTCATCTCCTCCAACAAATAATTCTACCGATATCATTTCTTTAAAAAATATAAGTGAAGAAAACGTAATTAGGGCTTCGAAAAGATTAAAGAACAAAATGACGTCTGGATGTGATGGTATTCCAAGTTTTTTCGTTAAAGATTGCATTCATATACTAGTGAAACCGCTGGCTTCCATATTCAACCTAATTCTAAAATCAGAGACATATCCAAATATCTGGAAGACCTCTAAAATATGCCCTATTCACAAAAGTGGAGATATCTCTGATATTTCCAACTATCGCCAAATAGCAATCCTGTTCAATTTCAGCAAGTTGTTTGAGATCATCGCTTATGAAACGGTTTACTGCTCGGTCAGGGGTGCAGTCTCTATTAATCAGCATGGTGATCTACGGTCACCAACTTGGCTCTGATTACTCATTTCTGAAGTAATGGACGGTCAGGGACAAGTTAATGTCATCTACACAGATATTCAGAAGGCGTTTGATCAAGTTGATCATTATGCACTTCTGGATAATCTTACAACAGTGGGTATGTCTGATGCAATGCTGTCGCTCATGAATTCATATTTGAGGGATAGAAGGTTATTTGTCGAATATGGTGGTCATAGGTCGAGTTACTATCGGGCCACGTCCGGGGTACCTCAAGGGTCAAATCTAGGTCCATTATTGTTTTTGATATTTATTAATGACTTGTCTTTCGAACTGAAGTGTTTCCATTTGTTTTTCGCTGATGACCTTAAAATCTGCACGTCAGTCAAGACAGTCGAGGATTGCGTCATGTTGCAAGATGACTTAGCTCTAATTTCGTCATGGTGTTCACGAAACTGTCTCAGTCTGAATGTTTCGAAATGTAAAGTTATGACTTATACAAGAAAGGTTAACTATTTAATTTATGATAATTATAACATCAATGGTCAGGTTATAGACAGATGCACCTCTTATAGAGACCTTGGAGTCACTTTTGATACCAAGCTAACGTTTACTGAGCATATACTCAATAGCCCGTCGGCTGCCACTCGACTACTTGGTTTCTGTATCAGAAACTGAAAGGGTTTCTCCAATGTTGATACATTAATGACTTTATTTTTTACTTTTGTCAGGAGCAAGTTGGAGTATGCGACTCTGATCTGGTCTCCTATATACCAAAATTCTGTCGTAATCCTTGAAACCATTCAACGTAAAGCTTTAAAGTACTTTCACCTTAAATGCACAGGTTCTTATCCAGAAAGAGGATGTGGCCATAGTGCCCTATTAGAGTTTTTCAATTTGGGTTCACTGTCAACAAGGCGAAACATATTTGCTTTGTCGTTTTTGTATGGCCTCATTCACAATAAAATTGACGGCCAAAATTTACTTGAAAAAATATGTTTCCGCGTTCCAAGGCTAGAGAGTCGACAACAAAGGGCATTCTATTGTCCAGCTGGCCGTACAAATGTTATGACAAAATCGCCAATTAATCTCATGTGCTGCGTCATGAACAGTGTTACTGAATCGTGTGATATTTACACTGACAGTTGTGCATCGATTATTAACTGCTATGATCATCCAATCTTATTTAGAATGTGTGATACTATAGATTTAAGTCCAAGAACCATGTCTCTTTAATTGTTATTTTTTTCAGCATTTCCTGTAATTGGGTTTCACCTATTGGAAATAAATAAATAAATAAATAAATCACTGCCTGCGTGTACGCAAGTGAATAAGAGCGCCAGATGAGTATTGACCAAAATCTCCCATTTGGAGTGTTCAAGATGCGGTGTTGTCAAATTTCATATGATCTGTACATCTCGAAAAACCATGTCACTCATTTCGATCGAAATGTATGTCTGTCTATCCGGTCGGATTTTGATGAAAATTTTACACATAGTTACTTCTACGCCAAGATCCCTAACCATGTTTGGAAAAATTATTAGGGGTGAAAATCTAGGGAGTGGGGGATTATAGAGCTGATGGAGTGCGGTTCTTTATTTTGTAAACATAAATAAGGGTGTTATGTAGTGCTAGTGCCGTCGAATGTAAAAAGGTAAGAAGCAATAACATATAAATATTGATAAATATGATTTATTTTGCAAATCATTTCTACTCTCGGGACTAGAAGGTGTAACTAATTTATAAACCAGTAGCAAAATGGACAGAAAAAAATAAGGCAAATATCGATATGTTTGGCAAATATATTTTAATACAGCTATTTATTGAAGACATAATTGCGCGAGAAGGATAGAGTCAATCTACTTGACAGCATTTTTTTTCATTTGTCATGTTACATAAAGTACGTCGGATATAAGAAACATTATTCTAGCTAATCATTAAGGCCCGATTTTTCAATCGGAACTTTCGAGTTGGGTAACTATTACCCGGAAGCTAAGTATAACATTCGTTTTTCAAGTTTTGGTTAACCAACTTGTAACCGTTGATGTAGCAACGCTGCACCTACGTGTAAACTATCGTGTTATGTGCGTTTCGTCACGCTCAGTATTCGTGACTCGAGTCACTGTCAAGCAAAATTGCGGTTTAACTACAACATTCAACTTCACTGATACTCTAGTTTGCTACTGTTTAGGGCGAACCTGACATTGAAAAACGCTTTTTGAATGTCAACTTCCGGTTATCAGTGAATCTTCAGTTAACCTGTGATTGAAAAACTTGACCTTAAGCTTTTATGAGATAGTTATCCAAAAATACGTCCAGTTTCAGAGTAGTATTTTTGAAAAGGCCGACCACGCGTTCGAGAAAAAATATTTTTGTCTTAGTTGCCGTGTCATTAGGTAACGGGGAGGTTTTCTTCGTCTGGTCCCTGCTAAGGCGAATTGTTGCACACAGCTCTCTGGTTTTGGTTGGAAATGTCAGAATTCTTAACGGTGATCACGAACGGTTCTAATAATGACGTTATCAGTGACGTCATTGCGACTTGCCATCGAATGTGCCGCATCTCAAATTGGTTGGACTTTCAGATCATTAAAGTATACTAAGTGACATATAAATCCGAACACCCAGTTTAAATGGTTTTATTTTAATAAAAGTTGGTGAATGTATTTATCTTACTGTAAATAACAAGTGAAAAAATTTTCAGCCTTATCAGTGGGACATTCCGGTTTTTATACTGCTTTTTTTTTAATTCACTAACGCTCTAAAAATGAATATTTCAGCCGCAGTACGGTCACTCTGGGATCAGGAATGGAACAGATTTTGTTTAGGCATGCACGATGGTCGTGCCAGGGTTAGAAGGCGACGTGGTGAAAGGAGGAATCCACAGTTTTTTGTTGAAAGACATGTTCATCACACTGTTGGAGTTATGGTTTGGGGTGCTATAGCTTATGGTTCCAGGTCACCTTTAATCTTCATCAGAGTCACAATAGACTTCTTTCAACATAATGATGTCACATTGTTACCATGGCCACCAAGATCTCCCGACTTATCCCCAATTGAGCACGTGTGGGATATGATGGGTAGGAGATTGCTCAATTTGCAACGTCCTCCTCAGACTCTAGAAGCACTTCGAGAGGAGTTGGTGGTTGCCTGGAATGAGATACCACAGGAGGACATTGACCACCTGATCAGAAGCATGCCTAGGCGCGTTGGAGAATGCGTAGCACACCAGGGTGCATCCACACATTATTAAAGGTCAAAGGGCTTTAAAGCAGTGTAATCATTTTGAAATTTTTATCATTTACTTATTATGCTTCATTAAGTACTTATACAAAATTTTATTAAAATAAAACCATTTAAACTGGGTGTTCGGATTTATATATATGTCACTTAGTATATATTATTGCAATTCACCTGAAATACATGACAGATATGACAGATCGGAAACAGAATCAGCCACCGGCGTTAAAGAAATGTAAAACGTCAAAAATAAATGACAAAATGTCAACTTGCCGCCTAGATAGTTTCTATAGCGTGCAAATAGGGCATTCCGCGTTTGCTCGCCATGAGCATTGTGAGCGTCATCAAAAGCGTCTATCTATGGAGGAATGACTCAACGACACGACACTCTCAATGACCATGCTGCAAGCTGTAGGGAATATTCTTTTCTAGTTTTTTTTGCGTTTTCAAAAGCTTTGAGAAGCATTACAGGAAATCAGTCAATTCTATAAAATTTAAATGACTGAAAATAAAAATTAATGTGAAGCGCAGTAGCTTCTTTACGTGTTATAAATATTCCTGTATGTACCATATTTTCCCACCTGTTACCTTTGCTATACTTCATCAACCAGGGATTTTCTTTTCTTATGGCTCTCTTACATCACATCAGAGTCAAACATTTAAAGCTGAAGCACCACGTTTAGGTAACACATACAGCTTTGGAACGAGTACACAACAAGTGTACAACAGCTACTGCTAAGTTGATCTCTTGTAGAAAAACCTACATAATTCACAAAAAACCAATATACTGTAAATAAGACCGACTTAATTTCATTTTTCAAGACAGTTAATACCCCTGCCGGGCTGGCTCTAAAAATTCAGAATCAGGCCTTAACCATGTCGTCGCTGCTATGAATATAATACGTTTGGTCATACATTGGTTTACCTTGAATTAGAAACACTCCTAAAAAAATTTGCAAGGCAATAGAGAGGCCTCACATCGAACAAGGCGGCCTTCTTCCTAGAGTAAAATAGGTTTTCTACTTGAAATCTCCAATAATGCTTTTACTAAATGATTCCTTACTCCAATTTCAGAGTCAAAACTGTCAGTATGACAAGCTGTCAATATCGTTGAGTGGAAGTGCCAACTTTGCGGATGCTAAGAACTACTGTGGTAAAGGTACCCTTAGCTTGGTGTCCAACAGCAACACGTTAACAGTGGGTAAGATATTTTCTGCTACACCATCTTTTTGACCATCAATTACTATTTTATCATTGAGGGAAATAGTGCTGTTGGCTGTATAAATAAATTGGATCCCACGTAGAATTGTAGCGACCGATTACTGAAAAGGTTGACGTAAGACAGTTATGAAAATTTGTGTTTTTAGTATAACTGATGAGCTAAAAGTTATTCAAAATGGTGGCACTTCAGGTTGTAGGGGAATCCAACTTGCTAATTTTCAATAGAATGCCCCGTACATTTTTCAATACCGATACCAAAGTATAACGGCCATGATCTCAAATCTTGCGCCAAAGCGTACAAATGCAGGCTAACTAATTATAACAATTTTTCTCGTATTTTTGCCTTTCTCATATAATTTGTAATAGGTTTTCTACAGCGGGGGATTTGTTTTAGTTGATTTGGAAAACAATTACTATAGGATGGTCAAAAGGGAGAATGAAAATTATATTTTATAAGACTCAAAGAACCAACTTTTTTTAATGTATTATCAAATGCATAGGAGATGAAGAGTGGAAGCTTCTGGCAAAGATATAATGAATGCAAGATCTGTCCTTGCCTCCATGAACTGGACCCTTTTCCTCAATTTGTTATGGTGGCATTGAGTAATGAATACTGTGTAAGTTCAAATGCCAAAGAAAGAAATAGACTTGATGATGGCTCAAAGGTGCATTTCAGCAGCATTAAAAAAATTAAAAGATTTGTGGAGCGAAAGCACATACGATAATTTTGTTCTGAATGCTAAGAATAAATGGTAAGAGATGGAATGGGAAAATCCTGGTTTTTCCCATTGTCAGAAAGAGGAAAATCAAAAAAATGTTCGTCGAAAAAGCTGCTGACTCGCCACTGGAAACACACGAAAAACATAAATCACTACGAAGTTTTGGATTCAATGAGTAACGAATTGCAAGAACGTGCTGAAGGATTTCGTGAAGTGAATGATGTGTTTGGTTTTTTGATGCCAGAGAAATAAGTCTATCTAAAAGAAAAATAATTAGAAACCAGCGTCACATTTGATGGAACAATATTCGGAATTTTTCACTACATGAATTAGCCAATTTTTGCGAGCATGTATTTTTCAGAGAATCGTAATTGTACTAATGACAGCCAGCTAGATTATTTGAAGTTCATGATTGCAAACAATTTTATAAACAGTTTTCCAGAGAGCTGCAGTTTATTCAGATTGTTTGTGACTTTGCTTAACGGTTCAGCTAGTGCTGAACGTGTCATGAGATCTTTGGAAATTATTAAATAATACCGTCGAGCTTCTTTGGCTGAAGACACACTCAACAACTTCTCTATCCTATATATCGAAATATCAGTAGCTAATACACTGAATTTTGATTCTGTGATCTAAGTTTTTGCTGAACGAAAAGCAAGACGCGGATTCAAATTAGAATAATTCTGTTATTCTGTATTGAACAAAAAATGTTTGATCTCACAGTCCCAACTTGATTCAGGTTATATAGACATATAGTAAAAAACAACAGAGGTAAGGGTGCGCAGTAGCTACTATTGTGTATACAGGGTGTTTCAGTTTATTGTTGCATGACTTTAAGATTCGATAGAACTTTTAAAATGAATGCATAAAGTCTATATAAACATGGGTCGAAAAATGCGTATCTTCCGAAATACAGGGTGTTTAAATTTACTTTCTAAAATAGTTTTTTTAAATATTTCGAACAATATTTGATGTATAACAGTGAAAATTGGTATACCAGGGTTTTTTGGTACGACAAAACGAACCATGGGCATAGTTTTACTGTAGCCCTAGAGGGCGCTCTCTACTGTACCTGTAGTGTATTAAAATGACCGACAAATTTTTCTTAGTGTAATTTTTGGCTTTTTGAATAAAAAAACTGATTCTTCGCACTTTTTAACATAAAAAAGCTCTCCTGTGAATTTTCCTTATAGTTAGCCGTTTTTGAGATATTTCGATTTTTAAGGTTCGATGCATTTTTAATTATTTATGATAAAATAACGTTAAAAACTCAGTATCACGATAATTTTTAGAAGTAGGCTGTGCCTGCAAATATTTTTGAAATTGAAAGCACAATAAGGTTAAACGTCAATTAGTTGACAGTTAGTTTTGTTGTCTGTTGAAACCTGAAACATTTTTTTGCAATTGTGAATGCACGAAATTTAGTTTCTTTTACCTGTTTTTTTTTGTATGTTTTACAAAAATGCCATTTTTATTCTCCAAACAAGAGTTAGCGGATATTCATTTTGTGTATGGCTTTGTAAATGGAAACGCAGCAGAAGCAGCCAGAGAATACCCACGAAGATTTCCAAACAGACGACATCCAACTCGCTCAGTATTTGTAAGAGTGCATCGCCAAATAATTTAAAATGGTTTTGGAAATCTCCAAAGGGATCAAAACATAAATGTTCGTCAGCGCAGATTTACCCGTATGATTCTGCGTTGAGTTTGATAGAGATCTGGTGCCTTAGGAATTTCAGCAAGCCATGTTCACCGTGTTCTTAGAAATGATCATAGACGTCCTTACCATTTGCAACCTGTGCAAGGACTACAGCCAGGGGACGGAGAACGAAGCATCACATTTTGTCAGTAGATTCTTGATAGAACTGATAATAATAGGGAGTTTTTAAGTAATGTTTTATGGACCGATGGGTCATGCTTCACTAGACGTGGAGTGGTAAATTTTCAGAAGATTGGCCTGGTTCCAGCTTGATGGTTAACCAGCTCATTATTCAAGAATAGTTATAAACTGGCTGGACGAAAATTATCCAGAAAGATGGATCGGCCGTGGAGGACCATTCGCCTGGCTTCCACGATCCCCTTACCTAAATCCATTAGATTCCTTTGTGTGGGGATTTCTAAAAGAAAAAGTGTACCAGACTCCCTTAACCACAAGAGATATGCTAATAGACAGAATCAGGAATGCATGTGATGAAATAAGGCCTTATTTGAATAATGCTATACCACGTTCGATCATTCGTAGATGTGAATTGTGTATTGAACAATTGGGTTTACATTTCGAGCAACTACTTTAGATTTTGTATGTTTGTCCTAACTATCCAATAGCACTTTAGTTGTAAATAATTAGTTTAATTTTCTAAAAATAATATTGGAAAATTAAACAAATTAATATTCTGTTTTTTTGTGTTTATTTGGAGTTAGGAATTATTGCTGTGTTTAAAAACACAATCTAAACGATCATCTTAATTACTTGTAATGCCCAAATCGAAAATGTAAAAAAAATATTATTTTCCCATAAATAATAAAAAATGCATCGAACCTTAAAAATCGAAATATCTCAAAAATGGCTAACTATAACGAAAACTCACAGGAGAGCTTTTTTATGCACAAAAGTGCGAGGAATCAGTTTTTTTATTCAAAAAGCAAAAAGTTGCACTAAGAAAAAATTTTTGGTCATTTTAATACACTACAGGTACAGTAGAGAGCGCCCTCTAGCGGCTACAGTAAAACTACGTCCATGGTTCGTTTTATCGTACCAAAAAACCCTTGTATACCAATTTTCACTGTTAACCTTCAAATATTGTTCGAAATATTTAAAAAAAACTATTTTAAAAAGTAAATTTAAACACCCTGTATTTCGGAAGCCACGAATTTTTCGATTTATGTTTATATAGACTTTATGCATTAATTTTAAAAGTTCTATCGAATCTTAAAGTTATGCAACAATAAACTGAAACACCCTGTATAATTGTAAGCCTCTGTTAATATGTGACATCCTTATTGTCAGCAAAATCTGTAGTTCGAACTTTATCTGAACAATTCAGATGGATTTTACGTTATCGAAAAATTTTAGATCCGCGTGAATATTGAAACAGTTGGATTAACTGTTTTATTGGCACGTTGAAGCAGCATCAGATTAACTTTTTGCATCAAATTACTATTAAAAAACCTTTTTCACCATCCATGAGTTTGTTTCGGTTACTTGTGCAGGTCTTTCTAATTTTTTAATTCTCAGTTGCCGTCATTAATTTGTAAATAGCGATAAATGTGGAGGATATCACTTTCGTAAATAGTGCCCAGTATATATCCTGTAGTAATGCACGTTATTTAACCTATTTTAGTGTTGTTCACCAAGTTTGTATTCAATGAAATATTAATCACGGCAAACATGACAACAAATATCGACCATTTTTTTTTCTTGCCTATAAATTTATGCTAATCCTATAAATAGCGTGCACTCTAAATTTGACTCGACGCCCTTTGGTTACTTATCAGTAGCATCCGCGATAGCTTTTAAACTCTATTATGCACAAGAAGTTTGCTGGTGAATCATCAAGTTTAATTTACTTCAAAAAATTGCGATGCGCATTACAACATGTCCCGTGCCCGTACGCACTATTAAATGCAAAAACCAGCCTGATGTACGATAGCACTAACATGACATTACGCATTAAATTTTGATATTAATTTCTGAGTTATCATGCAACTTCCAAAGTTTCCATTGTCGTATTTTATTTGTCAGTAATTGCAGTAATTTATGTTATTCGCAAAACAGCTATAGTGCGCACTATTTGCCGTCTGTCCCCGATCATACCACTGGGCTCCCTTCCCCCAGTGCATATTGCCGACTGGGCCCTTTTCCTTAAATTCGCCACAGGGTCCCTCAAAAAGTATTTTTTATCAAATTTGCTCACAGCACAAGCGCGCGCGAAGAAGTTTTTCCTACATCAAGCTAACCGCATAGGCAACCAGTCTTACCTTACAGCTTTCAGTTAAATTAAAGTTGACGAATGCAGTGTTGCTAGTGTTTAGTAGAAAATACCAGTACGGCATTCGTTTAATATGTGTGCATTACAGATTTATCTAAGACATCTGGAACTTTAAAAATTGGTGTTCGAACTAAATTCGCCTGGGAGGGGGGGTTATGGAGGTTATGACCCCCTGGATTCGCGCCTGCGTGCCGGTCACAGCACTGTCACGTCACGACGGCTGAGTATGAATAGGCCTTGGGCGTTAAGGCCTTTACCATAAGGTAATCTCAGTTGGCTATTACGTATATTGGACATCGTCATGTCTAACTGAGATTCTCTGTAAATAATCGGCACCCTTGTTATGTAACTGCAAAATGAAAACGATGACGATTGTTGGAAGCCTTTATTTCTACTACGTACTCACCTCGATACTAGCATCTGTTGTGTATTTTCTATGCATTTTAATTTCCAGGACTGTTCTCATATAACGGTGGTGGTAGATTTGTATGCGAATTGGCAGCCATTGCAGACGATTCAGGTACATCAACCACTCCAGCACCAAATGTGTGTGACTGTGGATGGAAACAGGGGGTGAGTAAGAATTTCATAAGTAATGTTCTCCAAAAGACACTTATCCTATAGTCTTCAGTCTTTCGGTGTTCTAAACAACTGTGGAATCTTACTCCCGGCATTTTCATTAAACTTTCTTATTGAGCAGCTGCGGATAGTTGGAGGCGAAGAAACAGGTGTAAATGAATTTCCCTCTATGGCTGGTATCGTAGATGTTACGACGGCAGACGTTTACTGCGGAGGAACGATTATATCCAACAGATATGTAATCACAGCTGCTCATTGCCTCTTAAGGAAAAGTCCAGGAGTCTTGGGAGTACTGGTGGGGGATCACAATATATCTTCTGGTAAGAAAATGCAATCATTCTATACATTTTAAGTAACAGTATGAGTGTAAATGGCTACAACCAGGCTACAGGTCGGGACCCGTACTGCTTGAATTTGGATGAAATTTTCGCACAAGGTCACTACAATGCCAAAGACGAAAAATCTTTGTAGTTTTTGAAAATCGGTTAAGTTGCGACGGAGCTAGGGGTAGCAACATGGAAAAAAAGAAATAGCAGAAAAATTTTAGTACCGCATGAAATTTGGAGGTAGGCTTGTGGAGGTGGGGGAGGGTATATGAAATTTTTTGATGTTTGTATGTTTATACGCCCCCAGTCATGGTAATTCTATGCAACTATTAGGCATATTTCATTCTCGTAACGTACAATGATAAACAAATGTTTTCAATCCGCGTACTCCTGCTGTCTAAGCTCAACACCCGGCGCACCGATCCGGCTGATTAATCTATCCATACTGCGGCGCATAAAACATATGAAGAGCACACGGGAAAAATGATCTAAGTCACTTCTGGTAACTTTTGAGATAAATCAGTTTAAAAGTTTGAAAGTGTCCCGTTATTACATACTGAAACAAATAAAATATCTATGTGTCTCAACTAGGAGATTTCTAATCGTTCTAACATAACTAAAACAGGTTCTAGAACAAATATATATATATATATTTTTTTTGAAAAAATAAGTCATGAAAAATGAAACTACACAAAATAAAATGAAAAAAGTCCAAAAAAATATGTTTGAAGTTCTTTTCAAGCAACAAAGTGAAATGTGGTTTCTTTATAGTGCCTGCAAAGAAGAAAATGATTTAGTTTGTTCAAATCAAAATGCATAGTAAACTTGCGTCAAATTCATCATCACTACTTTTGATATCTACAGTCGGCAACTCCATGTAGTATTGTGTAGTATAGTGTAAAAAGAAGGTGGTAGACAAGGACCAGTCGACCGAGGCAGTACCACCCGCTAGCTATTCCCAGGATGTCTTATAAATGTTCGCATGTTTCCACACCTAAGCTATGCAGTCGGTTATCCTCCAAAACAAATAAATTAATGCTAACGGATCCCTCGAGCACTAAGAACTCTGGACGTAAACTCACTCTACTCTCGGAATGTCCGGGTAGAGGGTGGGCTCGAAGGAACAACATCGAAGATAAAATTTGTTTTTCTGCGGGATTAACAGCAACATTGATGCTGTTCATCACTACCTGCAATCCAATCGTCCTGCCGTGCTTTTCTTGGCGGCGACAAAAATCTCAGAGTCTGCATCGATTAACCATCTTAACTTCCCAAACAGCGAGGTGCACTCCAATCTGAGAAAGAACGGGGGAGTTGTGGCTTTTGTCCGCGTCTTTCCTGCTCCAGAGATGTTGCTTTGGAATCAGACCGGAAGGACATTCTGTGGCTTCGCCTCAACTCCAAAAAATCACCCAAGTTTATTTGCTGCCTTTATCGCTCTCCCTCGGACTATAACTGGGATGACCTACTCGACTACCTCGCCGTCCAGATCGACTTCTTGAACATCAATCATTCCGCTTCAGAGGTGGTACTTCTCGGTGATTTCAATGCCCATAACGAGCTTTGATTGGGCTCAAACAAGACCGACGTAGCAGGTCGTGCAGTCGTAGCGTTCGCTCTTACCCAAGGGCTGACTCAGCTGGTGACGAGTCCTACTTTTTTCCCCCGCGTCTCGTCACACGCCAGTAGCCTGCTGGATCTCTTTCTGACCACGCATCCTGCCCCTTACAGCACTGCTGTCCTGTCTCCCCTGGGTAACTCAGACCACGGTGTTGTGAAGGTTAGGTTTCGGTCAGAACCCGCTGTGGCAGCAGAAACTCGTACAGGCCGCAAAACTTGGCATTACGGACATGCCGACTGGGAGGGGCTCAGAGATTTCTTCTCTAGCTTTCCTTGGAAATATGTCTGTTACACTGACGCGGATGCGTCGGCTATCCGTTCTTAGATAACCGAAATTATCCACGTCGGAATGGAGGAATACATCCCTCACACAGTGAAAGTGCCTAGACCAGGGTAAAACGGCTGGTTTAACAAATCGTGTGACGCTGCTCGCCAGCAGAAGATCAAGGCACACAGAACCTTCTTACAAAACCCCACTGTAGAGAACAGATAAGCCGACGTTGAGTCCAGAAACAAATATAAAGCAGCGGTTCGCAATGCCAAAAACCAGCATGATATAAAAGTTAGGCACAGGGTAATGTCGCAGCGCAATGGCAGTCGGTCTTTCTGGACGCTGGCCAAGCAGATTGAAAAGAACTTCTCACACAGTAGCCTTCCACCACTTACGTGTCAGGATGGAACTATTGTATTCAACTCAAAGGCCAAGGCGGAAGTGCTAGCCAAGACCTTTGCTGCCAACTCCACCATGGACGTCCCCACCAACGCCCAAGTGCCGTCAATTCAAAGGGTTCCCTACACTATGCGCGAGGTAACACTCAGGCATAAGACCGTAAGACGAGTGCTCTTGTCGCTCGACATCAACAAAGCTTCTGGTCCGGACTTGATTCCTGCCATTGTACTGAAGAAGTGTGCACCGGAGCTTGCTCCAGTTCTTTCGCGTCTCTTCCAGATATCTTATGAATCCGGCACCTTCCCAGAAAACTGGAAATTTGCTCATGTCCAACCCATCCCAAAAAAGGGATCTAAGACTGACCCTTACAACTACAGGCCTATAGCTCTGCTTTCTGTTTTAAGTAAGGTCATGGAGAGGTGCATAAATCGCGAGCTTCTGGACTACCTCGAACGTCACGGCTTGATTAGCGACAGGCAGTATGGTTTCCGGCACCAACGATCCACAGGAGACCTCCCAGCTTACGTCACTCAATTGTGGAGTAAACTCATCCAGTCTTATGGTGAGGCTCATGTCGTTGCTCTTGACATCACGAAAGCATTCGATCAGCTGTGGCACGCTGCCCTCTTAAGCAAACTTCCATCCTATGGCCTCCCAGAAAAGCTTTGCAGATGGGTGGCTGACTGATCTCCGGCCGCAAGATATCCGTCGTAATTGACGGGTTCTCCTCTTCATCCCACAACGTCAACGCGGGTGTTCCCCAGGGATCGGTCTTGGCTCCGACACTGTTTCTCTTACATATCAACGACCTCCTTTCCTGCACGATCAACCCAATCCACAGCTTCGCTGATCACAGCACTCTACATGCAGGAATTCAGAGTGACAAGCCGATCTCTGCCGCTGAGTTGGAAAAAAGAAGACTAGAGATGACTTCCTCTCTGACAAGAGACCTGGAGGCTATCACTGCTTGGGGACGCAACAATCTTGTACAGTTCAATGCTTTCAAAACGCAGTACTGTACTTTGACGAACAAAAAGCGTACCTGCGCTCACCCGGTTTCGATGGATTGATGGATTTTCGAGTTCTGCCAAAGAGCCATTCATTTTGGCTGGTCGGAATCCAGATCACCGAGGACCTGATCTGGCACGACACATCTCGTCAATAGCTGCAGCTGCTGGAAAAAAGCGAGGCTATTTGTTTAGGGCTAAGAAGTACTTTTCTCCGCATAACCTTCTCACTCTATACAAGGCCCAGATAAGGCCTAGCCTTGAGTATTGCTCGCACGTTTGGTGTGCTGCCGCCCCGACTACATTATCCATGCTCGATGCTGCCCAGAGGAGGGCGGTCCGACTGATCGATGACTCTTTTCTAACAGACAGTCTTGGGACTCTTTCGCACCGGCGGGCTGTCGGCGATCTGGCTCTTTTCTACCGTTACACCTAACTCTGGCGTCCCATCCTAACCGTGTCGAACTTCGTACATCCAGAACCGGCCGATACGACCGCTCCTTTGTCCCGAGGGTGTCGAGATTGTGGAACAACCTGCAAGAGGAGGCTTTCCCAGTTCTATTAACCTTAGGCAGTTCAAAAATCGTATTAATAAAATTTCTTTGGGATCATCATAGCAGCCGCGGTGTTCCGGCATTTAGGCTTCTGCCTGCGCGGCTGCTTCGATATAAAAAAAATTCTTTTGATGTTCTTCTTCAACGATATTCCTTAGGTCCCGTAGCTGAAAGTATTTTTTCTTTGGTACCATGATGGCCTGCTTATACGGGGTGCGGCAGAGAGGACGGACGTTGTTGGGATGGGTAGTACTCTCCGCCTCCGTCTACGGGAGAGATGGGGAGGGTGCCGTTTGACTCGTGAGATCCTAGCATTATTCTACCAGTTGTCGTTATGGAGCCTTGGACGGTGGAGCACCGCGTTTTCGCCTATGAGTGACGAAGCTCACTTTCACCTAAACATCATGGTTAACCAGCAGAATTGTCGTTATTGGGCTAATGACAATCCGCAACAGTTACACAAAAGACCGCTGGACTGCCCAAAAGTAACGGTTTGGTGCGCTGTATCGCAAACTTGCATCATTGGCCCTTACTTCTTCGAAGACCGTAATGGTCGTAATGTTACCGTGAACTCAGAGCACTACATCGACATGATCACCAGCTTGTTTCTCCCAGAATAACGACGGCGACGTGTTCCAATCCGACGTGTGTGGTTCCAGCAGGATGGGGCGACCGCCCACACAGCCCGAGCGTCCATGGACGTTATTCGCCCTCTCTTCCCTGGTCGCCTTATTTCCAGGTTTGGCGATGTTCATTGGCCTCCTCGGTCGCCAGATTTATCCATATGCGATTTTTTCTTATGGGGACACCTCAAAGCTAGAGTATACGCGAACAAGCTCCGAACTCTGGACGAATTGAATGGCGAAATTCGCGTGGAAGTCGCCCAAGTTGAGAGAGCGATGTTGGAGAGAGTCTACGCGAACTTCCAAGAACGCCTCCAGCACTGCATCAACGATTTCGGCCACCACATGCCTGATGTGATTTTCCACACTTGACTGTCTCAAATGCTATTTCCGTGTGAACCTGATTCCAACAATAAATTTGTTTTCGAGTAAAAATTAACTATTTTATGATTTTTTTAAAACCGTCCATCCTCTCTGCCGCACCCTGTATAACAAGTTTGGGGATCCGTCCTAACTCAAATTTGGGCCCGCAATAATGAAGCTAGGTATGTCTCGCTCCGGTATAATTTTTTCTTGTTTCTATTGTACTTGGATGTTCATGACTTATGCGAATTTCTCTTAACGACTTCCTCTTGTAGGCTGGTGCTAAAAAATCTGTCCAGGCGAAAAACATGTCTTGCTTACATTCTACGACATCAACTGGTCGTGGTTTGCATCTGGCGTTAACAACTTCTACTCATTGTTCTGGGACATCAACTTCACTTTTTTGATTGATTAGACCAAAGTCCTTATCATATTTAAGATGTGAATGACCTCTTATAGGAAATGTGACCATCACACAGTTAAAGCGTTTATTTTTGATGGACCAAGATATGAAAAAATCTTATCACGGTATAATTTTTGTTTTGGCCAGCACAGGAATCACAAAAGATCTCTAAATGTCGTACTCCTGAGTCAAGAATATTAAAACAAAAATGGTTCAAAAGCCAATATCATCTTATCCTTTTTTAGTAGTAGTTTGGGGGTGTGTGTAAAAAATAGATTGCCCTGATTAAAGGATATGGATATTAAAGCTTACGAACGTCAATTGCCGTTTACAATAAACGTCATCAGTTGTAATGTTCGGCGTTGGTAGATTCTTTGAATAATCCATTCTTATAGCTTCTTGGCTAGTTGTTTTCGGGAATTTTTCTTAGCATTACGTTTCCTTGTGTAACAGTTTTCCGCTTTAAGTCTGTGTAGTTTGTGTTCAGCTTCAGTAGCTCTCTGCCGTCTTTCTATTCCTGACTTTTTTCTTGGTTTTCAGCACCAATGTTTTTTAGTTGAGTCTCCAAGGAAGATTTTTTGACTTTAACTTGGTCACAGTAACTGCAAGTATCTGCTCTAGGATACCCAAATCCAGTGTTGAATTTTGTCGTGAAAATTAGTCTGTAAGATTCACAACTTATTTTTTGATCTGGGTATTTTGCACAAAAGAAGAGATACAGGTTTTTAATATTTAAAGTCTCTGGAAGATGCAGCTCTCTTGACTTTTTCAAACTGTAATGAGATACACGCCCTTTAAATGATCTGATATGTTGCTCAACAAGTTGCACCATTTCTCGACTCATCTTATGTGGCCGATTGTGATGCCTGCCTACGATTTTAAAGTTACACAAATTTAATATTCCAGCTTCTGTAGTATACACAACTCACTGCTCATATCGTCAACTGAGCTGCCCTGCCTTTGAAGACCACTTTTTGTTGTTATTAGTCTGCTGTTTGTTATTCCATGTAGACTAATAAATGCTTGCTGACACACTAACATTTCATGGAATCCATCATTCAATTCATTTGGAACCCTTATTTTGTAAGGAAATGTATTGGATTTCAAATTTGCATTATCTTCACTCTTCCGTGGCCGACGTCTTCTAATTGGCGGCATAGAAACTAACCCAGCTAAATGTCTGTTCTGTGAATTTCTGTTGTCTAGTAAATTGAACGCCCTTACAATATTATTTTTTGCGCCATCGCTCAACTTTTGAAAACAACGATTTTTACAGTTACAAGGTTTCCCAGTCTGAAATGTATGGTTTCGGACATCTTTCTCAACATTTCTTACACGACCACAAGGCTTTCTCTTTCTTGTTTTATTTAAGACGACAAAGGGATAGATTCGCTCTCACTACTGGACATAATAATACAATTACCTCTGACCTTGATAACTCCAGACAGAAAATGCGGTGCACGCTTGGACACATTCAGAATCAGACTGAACACGGCTCCCTTCTTCCTCCTTTGCTCGGCTATCGGACTTGGATCGGTTATCCGTAAATTGCGAGGACTTGATCGCTCTTTCATTGTACGCTCATTTTTAAACGCAAATAATGGGTGATTTTTTTGCTAGTATCTTTTTGGCAACACTGTTTTTGACAGATGACGCGTGAATTGTGTCTTGAGTCATTGTCAAACTTGTTCACGACTTACGAACGAACAACGCTTGTAAAATTATTGAATTTTACTATCAAAATTCATGCTCGGTTAAGAGAGTTCATCGAGCACTGCTTCCAATTTATGGGCAATTTGGTCGGCCTACTGAGGGTGCTATTCGGAAGTTGTGACTAAATTTCGAACCCAGTTTACATTATTGGACATTAAACCACCAACACGCAGACGTAGAGTGAGGACTGAAGAAAATATTGCGGCTGTATCCGCCAGTGTTAGTGATAACCGTGAAATGTCGATTCGCCGCTGTTCACAGCAATTGGGCCTCTGTTACTCCACTACGTAGAAAATTTAGCGACAGGATTTGGGTGTAAAACCTCATAAGATACAGCTGGTGCAAGAATTGAAGCCACACGACCTGCCACAACGTTTCCAACTTGGTGAATGGGCGCTGGCAAAGTTGGAGGAAGATCCACATTTTTATAGAAAAATTGTGTTCAGCGACGTAGCTCATTTCTGGTTGAATTGGTACGTTAACAAGCAAAATTGCCGCATCTGGAGTGAAGACAAGCCAGAAGCATTGCAAGAGCTACCAATGCATCCCGAAAAAATCACTGTTTGGTGTGGATTATGGGCCGGTGGCATCATCGGGCCGTACTTCTTCAAAGACGACAATGGCCGGAACGTAACTGTGAATGGCGAGCGCTACCGTGCGATGATAACAAACTTTTTTTTGCCCAGAATGGAAGACCTGGACTGGCTGACATATGGTTTCAACAAGACGGTGCCACATGCCACACCGCACACGAAACAATGGCCCTATTGAGAGGCGAGTTCGGTGAACAGTTCATCTCACGTTTGGGGCCCGTCAATTGGCCGCCTAGATCGTGTGATTTAACGCCGTTGGATTATTTCTTGTGGGGCCATGTTAAGGCTAATGTCTACAGGGATAAACCAGCAACGATTGACGCACTGGAAGCCAATATTGAAGCATTTATTCGTGAGATACCGGCCGATATGTTGGAGAGAGTGTGCAAAAATTGGACCTTGCGCATGGGCCATCTAAAGCGGAGCCGCGGCCAACATTTACATGAAATAATCTTCAAACATTAAATTATATCGACCGTTCTATCGACTCAAATAGAGATTTAATCGTTTTATCAAATTTTTTGTGTTTTTTTTTAAATCAAATCCTATACCTCTTAAAAAATCACCCGTTATAAGGGATTTCGATAGATCTTTCAATGGTTCACAATGGAAGACACACATATTCGTATACTAAACTACCGTTTGGCGTAGTAATCCCGATTTTCGATATTTTGGACTTGGATCGTTTTCCCCGTGTGCTCTTCATATGCGTTTGGTGCGGCGGCGCCGCGGTGGGCCCTGTCACCCAGATATGGAAGGGACAACATTGCCAGATGGACAGTAACTACCGGTAGGGCAGGGAAATGATGTATTTGTACTAATTGTAAGGGCATGTTTTACTGACTTGATCCATTTAATTTCTTTGTTGCACATTTTGGTACCTGCTTTTTTTTTTCTCAAAGGTATTAAATTGTGCTGAATTCAATTCTTTATGAACTGACGACGGCGTTGAGTAGGAAGTGCAGATTCAACTTACTTGATTCCAGTTTTTTTTAACGTATGGTATGATCACGTACTTTTACCTTCGACGCAAATTGGCAAGGAAGTATTTTAATCGCAAGTAATTTAGAAAATGGAATAGTATGATGTTATTTGGCTGGTTCTCGGGTAGTTAGGCCATCGTAAAATATGTTTACTTAACGTTTCGCCAACACGAGTGGTTGGCATCTAAAAGATGTTCACAGTTTAGAGACCGGTGAGCTATTTAGGAGTCAAATTCTATATCCTTTGTGACCAACACGCTAATTCTGCGCAATACAATTAAAACTACATGTGGTATGAGAAGCAGCTCTATTAGTTGGTCGTATCACTTGTATCACTCTTAATATCTGCAGGGCTTGATACAGCAGCTTCAGCTCTTTACCGTGTAGAGGCGTATGAAATCCATCCAAGATTCGTTCAAGCGGAGCAGGGTTATGACATCGCCATCGTCAGGACAGAAACGATTATTCAATTTAGCCTATACGTTGGTCCAGCTTGTTTGCCTTTCCGATACAGCACCTTCGATTTTTATGGACAGCTAGTCACTTTGCTCGGTAAGTTTTACTACTAATCAACCATAAGCGCCACAGTAATGTCATTAATGTGGTCGGTAATATGGTGAGTTGCAAATTGCTGGCCAAGAAATAGTGGGATTTCGCATAAGAAAATCCTACAATTTGGGCGACAGTAAAATTTGTTATATTTTTATTAAAAAGGTAAAGTCACTCCCACCAGTTTGTCTATATGCGACACTGAGTATATTCAGTAGCCGTTGCAGCGATTTTAATGAAAAGGGAGATGCTGGTTTATGGTATCACTGCCACGCCCACAAAGCAGCTTAACTGTCCCTAGATAAATAATAAAAAACATCTATGTAAATAATGTCATTGAAAACTGGATCCTTCGTTATGCTAGTTTGCCAACTAAAACATTATATTCCAGAATATTTGAAAAGAATTGAGAAATATTTAAAATTGAATATAGCTCGTCCTCCAAGAATATATTTAAAAACGTTATTCTATGCGCCTCGGGTTATAAAAGTGCTCACATAATAACGGTTCTATGTTGACATAGGTATGTAATGTGCTGTTATTTCTCAATCGACAAAAGGCCTTACAATGCATATTCCATGCACCTAGTTGGTAAGAAATTAGGATGTATTAGCAGGTCTACAAATATTTAGAAATAAGTCTTATTTTACTTTTTAGGCTAGTTCAAGGTGTTCAAGATTACGAATAAGTTTTACTATTGCTTATAGGTTGGGGTTTACTGGAGTTTTCTGGCCAAAAAGCAGACGTTCTTCAGAAAGCGAATGTGAATGTCGTAACGAATGGTGAATGTAGTTCTGGAAACCCTGATAAAACGATACTTTCCGAGCAGATCTGCACGTTTGCCAGGGGCAAGGACGCTTGTCAATATGACTCTGGGGGTAAGATTTTATGCTAAAAAGTATATTTCATTTTCTTATCATTCCTGCATCGTTTTTACTCTATCAAAGTTTCGTCACGAAATTCCGAGGAGCCTTGGCTTCCTCATAACATATATAAATATATAATATTAATACCATAGATTAATTATGTCCCGTAAAAATTAAATATTGTAGTATATGTGTCATGTGTCGATTGGCAAGTAATACAAAGCCATATCGTAATAATTATAAATACCTTCGACTCTGCGATCCATTTTGCCACACCTGAATATAGCTGAGTATTTTAAAACGTAACACTATTCGATTATACAAACTGTTTGCTCTTTTGTCTAGGTCTCTTGGTCGTTGAACTACGCCTATGAATCTGCACGTCGACTCAACACAACAAAATTCAAGTAGTATTCCCCCTCATGCCCCAACATCATGTGTCCAAAAATATTGAACAAGCTTCTAAATCAAGCAGCAGCGGTGGCCGCAGTAGTAGACTCTTCGGTCAGTCGCCGTGCGCTGTGGGGGTCCAAATCCCGTCCCAAGAGAAATTTTTCTGTTGGCTATGTATGTTGTGATTGTCCCTAGGTGGTAGATGGTCTCTGTCTGTCGAACGCAGAGGTACCACCCGGCGGATCTCGTAGGCGGGGCCAGAATGTATACATGTTGCATGCACTCGTGTTCCATCGCGAGAGTCCGTGTGGCGTTCCCTCTTTCCCCTGTATCCCCCTATAGCCCCATGGGTATTTAGATCTTAGGCTTTCGTGGTGGTTGGAGTATATAAAAAAACATGATCACTACGAGCCCCTTCCCACTTCAGTTGGGGCCCACTTCAAGATTTGTACCAAAATATGCCTTCATAAACTAAACCTGACGAAACTATTTACTTCTAAAACAATTTATTTTCTCAAAAACATTTTAGATACACTGTAGTCGTAAAAAATACATATTTGAAATCACTTAGATCTATAACAAATAGAACATCTGAACACGTAAACAATGTGCGAATAAATTCGCGAAGTTAACAAAGCAACAATTGAAAGATTACCATTGGATAACATCACCTTTATTTTTTATTGCGGTTGAAATTCTTTGGGGCATAGTGTTAACCAAGTTTTGGCAAAAATTTGGTGTAAAACAATCCCATATTTCTTGAAGCTTTTGTCTCAGTTCGGTGATTCTACGAGCAGGATGTTGTCGTAGAACCTTTTTCATCTTCTGCCACAAAGCTTCAATAGGTGACAGATCTGGACTGCTAGAAACCCATTTCAAAAGTGGTACATTATTTTCTTCCATCCATTTTATAGCCTTTTTTGATGTATGACACGCTGCACCATCTTGCTGAAACACAAAATCTAGGCCGGATGTCAAACATTCTTCCATCACTGGTAAAAGCAATTCTTCTAAAATTGCCAAATATTTGTTTGTATCCACATTTCCATCAATAAAATGAAGTTTTCCTACTCCTTTTGATGACGTACTGCCCCAGACCATAATGGATGCTGGAAACTTCACTTTTCTCTTCACAGAGTCAACATGGAATGCTTCATTTATTTGCGAATAACGCTACTGCGACTGTTACCAACACAAACTTCGAATCGGGCCTCATCACTCCATTGTATTGCACACCATTGTTGAAGTGTCCATTGTCTATGTTCTTTAGCCCATATAAGCTGATTTTTCTTTTGCAGTGGAGTTAATAGTGTCTAACAAAGTTGCAATTTCTAAGTTTGATTTCCCAGAATTAACAAAATGTAATTATCAGTAACCGAATTTTCTCACTGATAACCTTTCCTCTACTCATTTTAAAAACCTTAACTACCCAAAACTATTTTAAACGTATTCTGACAGCTGTGATTAATAAAGGCAAATGTCATGGGTTTTATTTTTCACAGCCACCTATGCGTTATAGACTTATTTTGCATTGAAATGAAAATAGGTTGATATGCTGTAATTGCAACATGTGCTATTTTTATGCTGTACATTTGATTAGGGAGTGATAAAGTTGGTGTTTTCTACTATATATTATCAAAATATTCATTGTTAATATTTTAAACCTATGAAACCCTGCTACATTTTTATTATTTGTGTTTGATAAGAAAAAAGTAAGATTTCAATAGTTGGGCCAACTGAAGTGGGAAGGGGCTCGTATTACAATATTCATATGATCTCGACATAAAAGCAATAATAAAATATAACTCCGTTCTCGCTTACACCAATTAAGTCATTTATCTGTCATGATAGGCAAATATAGGTACTAAAATTTATTTTGATCTTTCTTACATTATTATCTAAATACCTAATAGCACCAAAATGATATTAACCGCAGTACAATGATATTTCCGAAAAAAGAAATTTTATCGACCCTTTCCGTTACCCTGCACTTCTTTCTATATCTTATACGTTTTGGCACAGGCAAACAAGTTTTTCTGGAGCTGATATGCCTTTATTTGTGCACCTAGCTAAAATATAGTATTTGTAAGTCGAGAGTCTGACCAATTGTTTACCCATTTTTACCGTAAATCGTAACTACGGAGTAGAGCAACGTTTACGAATGGCGCGGAGCGTGCATGGTGGCGACGATAGGTGGTGTAAGGTGACGTCATCACTAAGTCACGCTTCAACAAGAGCACTGTAACTTTGTCTTTTTTTTAAGATTTTCAATATTTTTTTTCAGTGATATAATTCACTTTACTTGCACTGCCATTTTGAGTTTGTTTCAAAGAATAGGAAGCTACGTTAATCAACACCTGAAGATGTAAAATTAAAATAGGTATTAGTCATGCGTCAAAAAGAGATGCAAGATCCCATTCCCATACGGAGACAGTAGCAGAATCAAATACTGTAATTCCCAAGCTGTTTTCCTAGCAAAACATAGGCATTCTGCACCTATGCAGTTGCGAGTATTTGATCAAAACACACCTTGGGAATTGGAAGTAAAGTATTTGCGGTTGATAACAAAACAAGGCTGTGGGGATTTTTAAACGACTTTACGCCCTGCTAAGAGGAAATAGTCGATTATCAACCTCAAATAAATCATTACTCTTATAAAAATCCATTATTAGACCCATCATACCATATGCATGTGAGGCTTGGTGATTTGTTGCTAAGATGCACATGTATGCATTGGAGGTAATCAGTGGCGGTTCTAACTTCATTTCAAGAATCTACGTCAGTCCAGTCCAACGTTTCAAGTGGAAGAGGTTTGACTTGACAAAATGTTTCCACGACTTCTCTAACTGAAACTTCAATTTCTCTGTGAATGTTGCCCAAAGTTAGCCCATTAAGTCTAGGTTCAGACATGTTTACACGCAGGTAGCTTTTCAGAGAAAAAGTCCGTTCAGCAGTTGCTGAGGTAACAAGGCTCGTTGAAAATATTTGCAGCAACGTTTCTACGTTGGAAAAAAGTGATTGAGTCCACTCGATTTAATGTTGTGTAGTGTCTCAAGGGTAGTTTGGACTTTTTCTAATTCGCCGTTTTTACAATTCTTGTTTGAGCCCTGTTTCGCTGCATTTTTCAAATCGTTTTTATATATTTCCGCTGCTTTCACAATTTCTTCGACCGTGTGTTTTGTATGATAGGCTGGAATCAAACTCTCTAGAGCCAGAATACCAAAAAACTTTCCCTTAAGTCTTGAGCCCAAAAAAGAAATCATTCCTAGCTTACTTAATGAATCCAACCGTTTCTAAGGCCCGTATCGTCAGTCGTCCCTACAATTGTAGGGCGCGTTTATGGATTACACTTGTCCCGTGTCAGCGTCAGCGCTCTCCTATTGTGAAAATATGTTTTCTTTTTAAATTGTAGGAAATTTCAGGCTGATAAAACATGATACAACTCAAAAGCAAGCACAATTTGATCCAAATAGATGTTTGTGGCATAACCTGCAAATAGAGCGCTGACACGGAGAAGTAGAAAACTATGACAATCAAGGAGGCCAATATCTACAAAATACTCTAAATTCCTTGACATTTTAACAACTCTTTTCAAGCTTTGAGAAAAATTACATTTGTCACCTCCTCAGTCGTCTGTTGAGGTCGAAGCTATTGCAGGCGTGCTTTCACCGTCCGGCGAGTGTGGTCTTTTAAGGAAAAATTTCCGAATATCCATTATGTACCAGACTGATGATGCTGGCGATTCACGATTACGTCTTGCACATTTGCAATCACCCAATAAGAATAACTTAAATTATAATAAACCCGGCAATACAAAGTTAATAAAAATAGAAATGTTGCGCAAAACGTAGTAATTTTGTTTTTGTATCACATTGCATCAGCTGTGATTGTTTCAGTGTGGTGCACACGCGAGAGGTAAACTGATCAATACACATAGAATAAATTGATTATTTGAATCCCGGATCATTGCGTTTCGCGGAGGGGCTTAAGCCCCTACAGCCGCCCCTGGACCCGCCACTGGAGATAATCCATCATATAGTCCTCCCCTCCATTACGGGAGCTCCATGATATGTTTCGAATCACAGGCTACATTCAGATATCAATATTTCTCCTCTCAGTGAGTTCACCAAGAAACTATATACACGAGCAGACAGCCGTTCTAACACTCTGCTAAGGGAGGCTGTGAGTTACTAAGTAGCTGATGTTCAAAAACAATAATCAATGCACATTTATTAATAGTAGATGTCTTATGGGGATTCGGTCTCAAAACTTCCAAAATCCGCCACCAGAGGCGCTGGCGTCGCGCGCCATTGACAGGTTGTTGGACGGAATCTGTAATCATGAGTTGGGGATTCCGCCGCTAGATGGCGCTGTCAAACCAAACGGAATCTGTGTGTCATTGGACACCTGTCATGCGTCATTGGGCATCTCACGCATAGATGGCGTTAAAACGTCATCTGTCATACGTCATTGGACACCTGTCATTGATGGGTTGGGCATCTCGCGCATAGATGGCGCCGATTTGTTTGGCGCTGTACAAACCTAACGGAATCTATGCGTCATTGGACAGCTGCCATTGATGGGTTGGGCATCTCGCGCATAGATGGCGCCGATGTCGCACCTGTCTGGTGTTGGCGTGGATTACGGGGGGCAACGTGTATACAGGGGTGCATCGAAAAATAGCGGATCGATGGACCGACGGTATATCGTTAAATCGTATATAGCAAGGCGTGACCTAAATAGCGTGGTGGGCTCCTCTGGTCGGTCGGTCGGTCGGTCAGAATGTCTCATAACCTGTATACGATGTACTGTTATTATTATACAGGATGATACCGTTCAAAATGAAAATAGTATAATGGATATTTTATTGAAACATATAGTATATATAACAATAAGGTTGATTGGTGTGTGTGTGTGTGCCATGTTTTGAATACCCGCGCTTGAACAACTTGCAACAAGAAATTCCGACAATATTATTTCGCAAACCAGAGGTATTTTCAATAAAACTACATATCAGGGAGTACTTTAGATGTTGATACTAATCGACTCAAATCATTGTTCGACAACTGATTTGGTTCATGACAGACAAG